GCATATAGCACATGCATAATAAACATTTGTTGGATAAAAGCACAAATTTTGACACAAAATTGAATATCTTATATCTTTAATTTTTAATGTACAATGGCAATAAAAATATTTCTAACACCATTAAAATTGTGAGTTCTGTAAGTTTGGACATACCTCCTGAGTATATGTGAGAAAAATAATGAGTCCAGTATCACTTTTAAAAATCATTTTATCTTGCCTCTCCTGTATCACTTGGGCTTTCCCAATGCTGCCAATATGAGGCTGGGATGCATAAAGAATAAGAAAACAATTGCAAGCTTCAAATTCAAATTTCATTATTAAAGGATCTATCATAACTTCTTGTGAAAATAGGAAAATGTGCATTTCAAATGGAAACAAAAACATCATTTTATATTCTATGAGTTAAATAGGCATAAATAAAACACCCCAATATCAGAAAGACTTTGCTTATTATATGTGCTATTGCATATGGCAGAATCAAAGTAAATTATTATATGTATGATTTGCATGATAACTGATGATGTAAAATAATGCAAATAAGACCCTACAGCTGAGGAATTATTCAGATTACAGATTTTCTTCTCTCAAAGTTATTTTCTATTTCTTTTGAAAGAAATAAAAAATAATTAGAATTGACTTTTAATATTTATATTTAATCTTTAATTTTCTACCATCCAAATCTGAATTAGTAACTCTTCATTTCATTCTGATGTTAGTAATTTTTAATGTAGATGCTACAACAGTTTTATTTTTCTCAGCACAGACTGTATTTGTACATTTGGTGGTGTGATGGACACAAAGTTATTCATGAAAAGGTTCATTGTGTTTCTGCTAATGATATTATCTTTCGCAACCCAACTCTCAATGGTATCTTTAGCCTTGTTTTCCTTATACTCCAAATTGAACTGCTTGTTTTACTCAAACATGCACCATGCTTTGCTCTCCTGCTCCTGGGAATGTCCTTCTTAGCCCTGTCTTTTGTAATTCTGACATTGTTCTAGACCCCAGTTAAATGTCAAATTATTCACTCTTTGCATAGTACTTAGTTATGTATTAATCTCTTTCTTGCTTGCTTATTACTTTGTTTACTGCCTCTTTCTCCCCAGCACACTCAGGGTCTTTTCTTATTCACTGAAATCCCAGTACCTAGAACAGTGCATGTGTACTAAGTACATTAAGTACTTGTTAAATGAGCAGACAAATTAGTTATCAAACTAATCTAAGGATAAAATAAATACAGTAAGATTCTCTATAGATAATGATTTTTTGAAAACCCACAAACATTTATGTTCCAAAGTATAGGTTGGCACTTCAGCTTAATCTAGTGCTATTTTGACAAAGCTGTGAGAATAAAGGAAGATAACATGATACTTTGAATCAGTCAAAAATAATTTCTAACACCAAAGGCTGAAAGAATTCCAGTTTGAAGGTGCTATTTTCCTCATATGTAACTGTGCTTATTATAATCCATTTATAATCTAACTAAACACATGTTCTTGGTATGCTAATGCTTTATGCAAACCTTCTCTTGATTTTGTCACATAATTAAAAAAGATTCAATGAAGTGAAACAGATCTTAATGTAGCTTTGAATGAAAATTTTTAACAAGAACAGATTTTATATTTCAAAGTAGGTAGTCATTTTAATGTTAACCTATATTTTTACAAAATGAAACCAGCATCATAGTTTCTTTTTTTCTACTTTGACTTAAATTTTCTCTATACATTCCTTTTTTTTTTTTTTTGAGTTTATCTCAGGCATAACAAAAAAGAGAAAGGAGATATAGATATAGGTATATAGATTATATATCTGGAACTCTGGAATACAATGCTGAAATCACTAAGTCTTCAAAAGTACAAAATAAAGTCTGTTTCTTAATGAACAGCACAAGCGCTACTAAGCAGGTGTTACTTAACCTCTGAGTCTCAGTTTGCTTACCTATAAAATGAAATAACAATACCTACATTTTCTGGGCTAAAAAGAGGAGGAAATAGTAAACCTGGCACATCTAAAGTACTTAGTAAGTATATGTTGAATTAATGAATTCTATTAAAAATACAGGTGCCAAGAACTAAATTACTATATATCATTTAATGAAAAGTTGTAGTAATTGTGTAACCAAATAGCTAAAAGTATAACCACAGATGTTTTTATAATTATCTGATTAATACACAATCAACAAATCAACACGCACATGAATAGATCAAGAATATTGACCTTGAAATACTACAGGTGGCATAGGAGTGGTCCAGGTAATTATTCAAGAGACCTAAGCAGGGCCACATCTACCTAAGCAAAAGAAGAGATTTCGGAAGTTTTCTTTTGTCTCTGTATGTCTTACATAGAAATTCACATGTGTTTTTGAAGAGACAATAGTTGTTATTCATACTTCATAAAAAAAATTCTAACATAATGAATTGTTTATTATTAATTTTCTACACCTGCATAGGCACAAACTAAAGGCACTGAAGTTGCCACTATTAGAAATAATAATCGACAAATATATGGTAATTTGTGCTCCCTCTTACTTTCTATTTTAATTCTTATAAAAACCCTACAGAGTCAACACAGAAAGAATGATAGAACAGATTTTCAACTAAGGAACTCAACACATAAGTCCAGAAACATGCGATTAAATGTTTGGTGTTGGGGATACATCAGGAAACAAAAAGTCAAAAAGCCTACCTTCATGGAGCTCATATTTGCAGATTTGTGTTGAAGTAGGCACTATTATGGCTTTTAAAGTTATGAATGAAGCTGCTCAAATACATATTCATAATAAAATATGTTCTTATAAGAACTACATTAGTGGCCAAAGGATTTGCATGCTCTTTTCATCCTCAATTATTGAATGAGGTTTGATATTTTGTGCAAAGCCTTATAACATACTTTGCTTTTATTGTGCACAATTCAACTTCTTTCTGTTGTTTGATTTAGGGAATGTGAATAAAGATAATCAAACAAAATTGTGGCTTCTTTCTCAGTCCCATAGTACTTCCTTTCTGTGGTGCTTAGAACACTTACTGCATGAAATTCTCATAGCTTGCTCATTTGTCTCCTAGCTTGGACCCAACACTGTCCAGGCACAGGGTTGCATCTCATGAATTTCTGCAAGGCTAGTGCCTAGCAGAGTGCTTGCCACACAGTTCAGGTGGGATGTATGTTTGTTGTATGAATACATGTATATATTCCTTACTGTTTGCAAAGCACATTCAGACTCTCACAAAACTCAGCAAGATTGAAGGGTAGAATTTGTTTCCTTGTTTGAGAGACTCTCAATAAGAATGAGGGTTATTCCCTTGTTTGACAGATGAAGAAACTGGGGGTCAGTGAGGAATTACACCATTTCTCAAGAACACATAACTTGCCCTGGCCGGTTTTGCTCAGTGGTTAGAGCGTTGGCCTGCGGACTGGAGAGTCCCAGGTTCAGTTCTCGCTAAGGGCATGTACCTTGATTACAGTTTGTCACGGCCCGGTTGAGGTTGTGTGGGTGGCAACTACTTGATGTGTCTCTCTCACATCAATGTTTCTCTCTCTTCCCCCTTCTCTCCCTCCCGCTCTGTTTGAAGATAAATGCAAGAATGTCCTCAGGTGAGGATTAAAAAAAAAAGAACACATAACTAAGACTTGAATTTCAACATCAATTTCTTTCTAAAACACTCTGAAAATATAGGTATATTGAATTATTTCAGGGATATCTTTAAGGTCTGTTGGATGTATGGCCAATCATTGTTACTTTTTCAAATCATTGGTGAAATCTTGCTTCCTTTTTTAAAAAATATAGACCATGGATCAAAAAGATCTCCAGAAATCATCCATATTGTCATCCATCCAGACAATGGTACAGATCATATACCATTTATTTCACTGTAAAACAGAATGTATTGTTAGCCAAAACAATTCTGCCCTGTCATAGGGGAGGGAATGGAGGCAGCTTTGTCCTTTGCAATCCTAAAGCCACAGTCATCACCATTCTGCTGTTACAAGATTTCTATATACTTAATTTCTTCATCAGGAAATGAGTCCTACAGTAGCAAGATAGTGAAAGCAGTTGAAGGGGTCGCAGCCAGTATTTGAAGGTTCGAGTAATTGAATCCTGATCAACTGACTCTAAAGTCACCCTTTTAATACCATCACGTCCCACTAGATCATACGCTCCAGGAAAACAGGAACTGTACTGAATTCTTAAATCGGGTCTTGGCACATGGCATGCAACACTCCTAGCTCAATTCCTAATATACATATTAATAGTGGCAACTCTACATAACCACTGGCTATTTAGATCAACCTGAAAAAGTGCTACGTATGTTTTACAAACTTAGTAATGAAAGTCATTTGTGTATTTTTTACTTAAAAGCATCTTAAAGACGTTTGCTTTTGAAGTCAGTTATTTTCTAGGCAATATACTCAGGTCCTTAATGGAGACCTAGTGATGGAACCCTGGTGTTAGAGTCAGTTATCTTGCATACCGTTACAAATCAACATTCCAAAAAAAAACTTCAACAGAAATTAACAGCAACTATATCTGAATCCCAGCATTTCTGAGCTAGAAGCATTTTTCTCTCCAGGGAATGGGATTCAAGGCTTGACAATTTCCATTAACCTAAAAAAAAAATTCATCTCCCTACCTCCCCCCACCCCAAATCCCCTTTCAATCTTATATACTCTGACCGTTTTTATTTGACTGGAAAGTTGAAAGAAAGCCACACACCAGCTACACCCACGTAGCTCTCCTTGGGGTGGAAGAGCGAAGTTCCCGGGCAGCGCCTCCCTGCCCAGAGCCGGCGGCGCAGTTGCTCTCCGATACCTGCTCAGCTTCACGCCGACTCCGAAGGTCTGTCCGCAGCGAAACAGTTGCGTCTCCATCTGGCTGCCAACCCACCCAAGCTTTCTTCTCCTCCACCACCACCACCTTCCCTCCTTCCCCCTTCTTCCCCCTCCTTCCCGTCTTCCCTCTCCACCCCCGCCCCCAATCTCCTCCTCTTTTTCTCACTACAAGCGGTTGCTGCTGCTGAAGCCGAGCGTCACTTCGGCTCCCACGGCAGACATGGCGACATTGACAGTGGTCCAGCCGCTCACTCTGGACAGAGGTAAGGGAGCGGCTCGTCCGCCAGGCCACCGAGCCCCCTCTGTCTCCCCTTCTGCCCCTGCCAACTGCCCCCGGGACAGGCGGACGCGCTCGGGCAGGGCAGCCGGGCGAGCCGGGGGAGCGGAGCAGGCGAGGCGTTCGCGCCGAGAGCAGGATACTTTCTTCCCCTTTCTCTGCCCGCCACGTCCTTGCTGCCCCTTCACGCCGCACTCGCCCGGCCTAGAGGTGCCTTGGCCGGGCAGTGGCGCCCTCGCCACCACTCCCAGCCCCTCGCCCGGTCGCCTCCGGGCGGCCGGCTTTGTTGGAGCGGATGCGCGACGACCGCCAGGCGCCCGGGGCTCGGGGTTGCACAGGGGCAGGGAGGAAGCTCGCCGCGCCGGGCGGGTGCCTGCAGCCGGAGACCAGGAAAGCGCGGCCGGGGGCCCAGGAAGGAGGAAGTTTGTCCCGGCGCTGGGGGCGATGGGCGGTCCCGCTGCGGGAGCCCAGGCAGCCGCCCGGGGGCGGGCGAGGCGCGCCCGGGGTCAGCGGTGCCAGGGCGCACTTGGCTGGGCTGCGGCGGCGGGGAGCTGCTCTCGGCCAACAGAGCAACGCGGAGCGCGGGCAGCGCGGTGTCCCGGCCGTGGGCGCATCGTCGCGGCTGCCGAGTCCGGTTCTTCCTGGCTCCGCGCTCCGAAGGCGGAGGGGGTCGAGTCTGTCCCTGCCTCCGAGTGCTCTTCTGCAGTGGCAACCCACAGTTTCCCTTGCCCCGGCCAGCCGCGTTCTCTTCCACCCGTTGCCACCGCGGTGCCCTGGCTGCAGGGCGCGCTGGGACGCAGCGCAGGCTGGGCTGAAATTCAACTTCTGACCTGCGACCTAGTGCGCTCTGCTCTGACTTGATGGGGAAGCAGTGTTTGCTTCCTCCCCTGAGACCTCCCCAAGCCTCAGGATGAAGTCCTCCGCTGCGGTCCGGGCCTCTCTGCTGCACCCGTGAGCGGTTATACCTGTCCCCGAGTGTTCGGGTGTTCTTTCTGGCAGCCAGTGTCCAGTGGCGAAGGCGCTGGAGTCCCACGACCCTGCATCGGAGGACACCTGCTTGTCCCCGTCCGCAGCGGCCGGATTTAGGACCCTGGGCGGCCATTTGGAAATGGTGTGTTCAGACAAAAATGATTTAGTTCGATGTGCCTCCAAAAATATTCTTTTTAGCGAATTAACCTGGAATGTGGGGTAAAGCAAAAGAGCATCCTGCTGCGAGTACAGTGAAAAAGCCAGTGAGGTTTTTATTTGGAGAGATTGTGGGTGACTTTAACGCAATCTGTTGGCGCTAGAAGAGATGTTATGTGGCACTCCTAGCAACCTTACTTGGGGGTAAGAGTTGAAAAAAATGATTTTATGTTGGGAAATATTGATTTGTAAGCTAGTAAATTAATAACAGTAGTTAAGGAACTCAGAAATCCATTCTTTAATCTATGATTTCACCCCAATATCATCATCTGCACTAAGCAGGATAACTCCATTGCCACTAAGAGCCAAACAGATGGCAAGCTACAAGAAATGATGGATTTCCTAAGTATTTCTGTTTTAATATAATGAACGCTTATACTGTCCCATTACTAAATCAGTCTTCAAGTATCTCAAGTGAAACGACTACAGTAGGAGCAAACATCATAATAATAAATAAAATTCCAAGAAAATTGTATTCCTGAGCAATTTTATATACTACATACTACTGAAAAAAATTTCACGTTTTGGTTTTATCTTAGCCCTTAGATGCCTCCCTCAGTTGTGGAGAGGAAATACAATCTGACCAAGATCTATTCTTAAAGTTTGTTCTTGTTCACACCCAGACTGTACCATCCTTCTCAGCGTGATTAGTTTCTTGCAGTTAAGTAGCTCAAGAAGCAAGCTGGGAGAGACAGTGACTGTAGCTGAATAAATTCACCAGCTGCTCTCTGCAAAGTCTGTAATTTACTGATGATGGGTTATTGGCAGCATTGCTGTGCATGAAGTCAATATAAGAGCATTTTACTATCCCTTTTATTAAAATATAATTAATTGCATCATTAAACTGATGAAATAAAAGAGTTGTGAAAATTGTCCTACCAAAAAAAAAAAAAAAGAGTTTCTTAAAAGATGAAGCCCAATACTACTTATCTGGGTCCTAGTTGTAACTCTGATACTCACTTTGGAGTTAGTCTCTTTGGGCATCAGGTTTCCTCTTTGTGACATAAGGAGTTTGGCTGAGATGATTCTGACACTGTGCAGCTTTAATTTGATTCATTAAAATTAGGACTCAGTTTCTGGTCACCTACTGGAAGATTTTTAAGTTCACTCCAGTTTTGCAGGTTGTTTGGATGTCCTTTGATGTGCTTTGAGGTCACCTGCTGCTTTGGCCCCATCAAAACATTTCTCACACTCTGTTGCATCTTGTCTCCTCATTAAATAGAGCTCCTCAAGGGAAGAGACCATTTCTAAACTCATTTTGTATTTTCAGTGCCTAACATAGTCCCTGATCACAGTAGAAAAATCACAAATTAATGTAAGTTAGTGTAAGTGAACTAAGGTCTGCAGTAACTTAGCACTGTTAACATATAGAGAGTTAGTAGTGAACTGAGGTACAGTTTATGGATTCACAGCATTTTGGCCCTGGAAGGATGGTAGGGAGAGTTTATGCCAGTAGTTGTTAACCTTTTTTGTCCCCTACATATTTGATTATTTCTATCAGTTACCATAGCTCAACAAAGCTGTGATTATCAGCCAAGGGGGATTGTAGCAGTTGGGCAAAGGAGAGGAAGGAAAGAAGATGTTTGACAAAACTTACCAAGAACATCTCAGCAAGCCTGAATCCATAATCCATAATTTGAGAACCAGTTCTTTTTTAGCATCTTCATTTTTCAAATGTAAAACATGAAAGAAGGGACAGGATGATAAGAGGTGTTTTCAAGGTTACTATTCTAGGTATTGGGAGATTTTATGCTACAGTCTAATTTTTTCTTATTTGATGCCCTTTGGCACCATAAATTGACTTATCTGGAATCTTCATGGCAAAGGTTTTAAGCACACAAATCAAAGATATGGATTGAAATTAAGTTTTACTTCTCCCAGAATACAAAGGATATTACCTGAAAGAAAAATGCTCAGAAGTATGTGCATGTTTCTTGCATTTTGTCTGGAAAACTAGCCTTTGCAAGGAAGAGGCTGGGCCCTGAAAGGTAAACAGGGTGGTAGCTTAAGATTTTCACTGCTCTGTGCATATTTTAAACTCTTTTCCATCTGCCATTAAGACCTCAGGTTAACCTTGTGGAGAACTCTAGGTGGCTGTTGGCTGAGTAGATTCTATTCAATCAGGTCCCAATCCTGGGGATTTTTGTCTTTTATTTATTGCATGCCTACTATGTGCAAGACCCTACTGTGGGATTGGCATACATTGGTGAGCTAAACAAACATAATTTTAGTGTTTGTTGTAATTAGAGTCTATCAGGAGAGAAAGACTAAACACACACAACACACACACACACACGCACACACACGCACAACAGTTCATTCATTCATTCATTCATTCATTCATTCATTTATTCAGTATTTATTTATCACCTACGTTATTCTAGATGCTATAGGAATACCAGAAACAATGTTCCTGCTTTAATGGTCCTTCAGAGTCTAGTGCGAGAAACAGGTAATAAGTAAGGACTTAATTAATTCAACAAATAAGTATTGAGTGACAGCTTGTGGCAAGCATTGTTTTAAACAATAAGGTGGTAGTACTAATAAACAAAATAGATAAAGTCTAATGGAATTTACATCCTAATGAAAGTGTTGCACACTGAACACATAGATATACAACTGTAAGTGCTAGTGAGAAAAAGAGGACCACATCAAGGAAAGCAGTCAGAGCTGCTGTTGGTGACACTGGAGAACGAGAGCTGAAGAAACAGAAAGCAGACTTTGCAGAGTGCTCAGGAGAAGAACCTCCCATGGGCATACTGGGACCGTCAAGTATGTTGGCCTGAAGAAGTGCTAGAGAAACCAGGATGGGGCTAGATATTGTAAATTATACATAGGCTTTCAGATTCATTGAAAAGAAGAAGTTCTTGCAAGACAAGAAACACAGCATGAGAATAGAGAAAAATAGGGAGGATCTTTTTAGATAGTGTTGGTCAAGGAAGGCTCACTGAGAAAGCAAAATTTTTTTTTTTTTTATCCTCACCCGAGGACATTTTTCCATTTTTTGTTCAGGTAGAGTGGGAGGGAGAGAGAGGAACAGAGAGAGAGAGAGAAACATTGATGTGAAAGGGACACATCGAGTGGTTGCCACCCGCACAACCAACCAGGGCCGGGGACAAACTGCAACCGAGGTACGTGCCCTTAGCGGGAACCGAACCCGGGTCTCTCAGGACCGCAGGCCGACGCTCTAACCGCTGAACCAAACTGGCCAGGGCGAGAAAGCAAAATTTAAGAAGTTCTGCTGATTAATAAGATCCCTAGGAAAAAAGTATCCTGGAAAGAGGGAAGAATACACATGAAAACAGTTTCACATGTACAACTTGGCTACCATCCCGTTAATACATTTAGAACCAAACGAATGATTGAAAAAAATTACCAAGAAATAATAACACTCTAGCTATGTATCCTGCGATAGAAATTTGGTTATAAATATACCAAGAAAATCTATAGATCATCAGTTTGCTTCTTTTTCCTATTATATTTAGATTTTCTAATGTAATTTGATATATAATTTACATATCTATCACTGTGCATAAATTTACATGTTGAATCCAAGCGGTCAGAATATGAGATATATTCATTTTCAGTTTAATATTTTATATTAGACAGTGATGCAGAAAGTAGCTCTTGAAAGTTACCCTTGTGGCAAAGAAAAGATGCTGATAAGTAAATTAGTATGGATATTCTCTTCCAGAATTTAAAATGTTCATAGCAATTCTTCCTTACAGCAGAGGTTAGCTTGCCCAGATTTTAGTCTCTGAAATCAGAAATGACCTTCAGTTAAACTCAAGGGAAATAAAC